CCGGTAAAGATGAGAGCAACTGGGATGGCCATTTCTGGCTTATTATCCGTCATCAGCAAGTTCCCAAGACCCAAGTGGTGCACCACTCGAGCCTCGAACTCGCGACCTTCTTGATCAGAGCCGAACGTTCTAACCCTTCAGCCAGAGCTCGTTGTTTAGCCGGCATAGGTCAGGGCCTATTGGCACTCGTTGATGAACGTTCATCTGACCGCTGACGGGACTCATCTGTCCCGCTCTGCCTTGGGCCTCGCCAGAGCCCCTGACAACCGCAACAACTGGTAGTATAGGCAGATGGCATTGCCGGCAAAGACAAAGGAGACTGAAATGGCCCTTCCTGGCTTATTAGCCGTCGTCAGTCAGTCATATCCCGACCTAGGTGGTGCCCTACTCATTTGGAGGAACTGACGAACATAACTGGCCGCATGACTTCGCTCCAATATAAATGTAATGTTCTGATGAGAATTTATCCAAAAGTTTACGTATGCTCACCTACTGCTCTTTTGAAAGGGCATTTGATAGTATTTTACTTCTTGCGCTCATTTTAGAGGCAATAGAAGAATATGCGATTTTGGGGATACTCGACTGATAATGCTGGCAACCTCGCTTTCATTCCATGTCTGTCAGCATTTAATGAGCAGCAAAGGGTCTATTACGCAGAAACTCAGGAGTAAACCAGTTTTCTATGCAGCTTAGAAACCACAAAAATCATATGAAGTGAAAGTTTTGTTTCGAAATAGACAACTACTTTCAGAAAATAGGTACTTTTTCAAGCGTAATGTTCCTACAAAATGTGAATGGGAATATTGGCAACTGTAGCTTATGTAGGCCCACTTATTAATTCCGACTCTCTGAATGCTTACCTAGGAAAACGGTGGTTATAGGGTTTTATGTGTGGGGAAATGAGGAAACGCAGTGGAATATAATTTAATAAATGCTAAATGCTTTTTGTTTTACTTTATTTAGAAGTCTTGTTGATTTATATCTGTAGATTTTCCTAATCTGTAATATCGTTTAACTTATTGCGGAAAAACCAGATAATCAAAGCGCAGGTTTCCTGAATTTCCCGAAAAAACTGAAATGGTGGTTAGGAGTTCGTCTGTTTTAACTTACCTAGGTTCCAACTTACCGTTCCGAAGTTAAATTAGTATAGTCCATGCGCGAAGCGCCGCACCCACCTTCAATTTACATACGGAACAACTTACTCCCAGCGGCCGCGGGAAGCAACCTCGACTACATTTTGTTTTCACTTTACACTTACTTCTAAAAAATTTCCTTCTATGCCTATCCAATTTTTTTACCCCCAAACACTATAGCCACCATTTTTGCAGGAAAAAAATTAAGGGACTAGGGGTATATGAGTGGGCCTACATAAGCTACATTTGCCGAAATATTTTGTTCAGTCCCCCTCTATAAACTGTCATTAAAACTGCGTGCAAATTTTTTAAAAAAGGACAAATTGCGAACTGCTTATTCGCGGATATGAATAACACAGACAAATTACAAACTACCCCCCGAACAATTGTTTCAGAGGCATTGGTTTGGGAGTGCCTTTTCTGTCCGTCAGTATTTCCGTCTCACATGGGGCAATGCTAGCCCAGATGCTTGTTAAAACAGTAGTTTCCAGGAAAACCGACCATATTTGGGGGTTGATTTCTCCCGATGTCCACCACCATTGCAAAGCGTTTGGTGACAAGCTTTTTTTGACAAATATTTACACATTTTTAATGTTGAGTAGCTGATTTTAAGAAAGAAAATATATGCACTGATTTGACGCACGTATTAAATCCCATTCACACCAACCAGTTACGTAACCGTCTTTATGAAAATGCATGTTTGCTGAGAGAATGCTGTGGCTTTTCGCGAGGTATATTTAAATGCAACTCACCGGCCTCCTCCGTTTGAGTAGCTTGAAGTATAGCAGTCGCCAGACTTTGACATGCTACACTGATTTCGTTGAAATTGCCATCGGCAAGCAGGCGTGCTAATCTGTCGTCGGTTCCATTGGCTAATGCATGGAGTTGGTCAAATAGGTGTTTGGGGCTCTCTTCTGTAAACTATGTAAGTAAAGAAAGAGCACATTGGTAAATAAAATGCGACCAAAGAACGGACAAGGCGAATTAAATACCCTTCTTAGATAAGTTGAGAGGTGAACTTGCTTATGGCCATCCGTATTCTCGGACCAATTAGCCGTCAAAGAGAAAATTAAGGTAAAGAAAAGAAGCCGCAAAATGTTTATGACAGAGAAAGTTTAGTCATGCGTGCACAGTAGTTAAGTTGCAAGTGAGTCGCTTGTTTAAACAAAAGCAACATTTGTAAATATTGTGCTAATTAATTTATTAAAATAGCAAGCCGTACGCAAGTTAGAAGAGCGATGGAACGCATAGGACTGCTTTCATGAAATTCTCATCGGGTCAGTGCGTTTATATGGGAACGGGCTACAAGTAAAGATATGCGGTCGATAATGTTCGATAGGAAGCAAATTTTCAAGGTGCCTAGTTTAACTTGCCGTATACGTTCTGTCTAAGGAAAATGACAGTTCCCACATAGTTGTCATAAAAATTGCAATGGATGTAGATCGTGTTTTAGGCTACTGTTATGAGTGAAAATATCACAGTCTTAAAAGCTATTAAACTTATAAAAAAATATAAAAACGAACGTATTATTCTACCGATTGCGTACAAGGAAGAATATTTTTGTTTTTGAATTTACAATGGCATCAAATATCAATGAGAACAACGCGTACTGATTATATTGCTTTTTTTACAGCATGTGTTTCCCTCAGGTGGTCAGCGAGAGGCTTCCTGAAATGTGTAGGATTATATTTAAAGATAATTAACTTTAAAGCCCTATTACAATAATGAGCTAGACAATCTACTGTACGAGGAATTATAAGGAATCTGGGCTGATTACAGAGAAGCACATTCACGCAGATACCAGCCTATGCATTCATTTGCGGCGTTGGGCTGATTTGGGGTTCAGAACTTACTTCAATTTTAACAAAACAGCGTTCATCGTAGGAGCCGTAGTTGTCAATGACACGGACGCAAACAGCGAATTCTCCAATTTTGTGTGGCAGTTCCCCCACAAATGAGGGCAGAGAGGAGGTGTGGAAGATGAAATTACCAGCTTTTTCTTTTGCTGAAGAGGCAAACAAATGGAAATTTAGTTTGTAAAATAGAATGTTCTTCGGAGGATAATGCGATAGAGCACTATCAACCGCTGTTCGTCGATGAACGTTCACCCGACCGCTAACGGAACTCATCTGTCCCGCTCTGCCTCGGGCCTCGTCAGAGGCCCTGACAACCATAGCAGCTGGTAATAGACATACAGTATTGCCGGCAAGGAAAGGAGAGACTATAATGGCCATTTATGGCTTATTAGCTGTCATCAGCCAGTCATACACAAACCCAACTAGATGGTCTGGTTGATGGATAGGAAGTCTGCAATGCATATTATTAGCTCACAATCCAGTGCTTCCTACATTATTTTATGCAGAAGAACATTATAAATGGAGGCGAGAGGGACTGAAATGATCACTTCCAGCTTATTAGCCGTCATAAGCTTGTAATACTCAAACCCAAACATGACCTATAATAAAATAGATCCGATAAAGCAAAGGCAGACCGGAACGGCAATTTCTGGCTTGTTATCCGTCTTCAGAGAGTCATACCCAATTTTAAGGGTCGGAGCCCCCTAGATTCGACTCCGGGTCCTTCGGTCATTGTGTTTACCACTCTACCATTGCACGACGTTGCTGAAAAGCGAACCCCAAGGTGGGACGGGAACCAATCGGTGACCGGCCATCCACGGATGCTAATATTCCTTATGGAAAACAACAATGCTTAGGGTGTTGGACTTCTAGTCAACAAGTCGCAGGTCCACACCTCAAGTGCTGCAACGACTACTAAACCAGAACCGGCAAGTTCAGTCACTCTTGTCTCTGCCTATAATACTACCCACTACGAAGCTGCCAACGGGCTCGACAGTTATCTCCAAAGCAGTGAGTCCAAAAACTCATCGGTGGTCACCCATCCACCGATATCTCCTCACGCCTCCACCGACTGTCCTAGTACTCAACTCTTCCTTGCCATTGGATATTTTGTGTTACGTGTAGATGTAGTTTACCTCTTAGATTAGCTTATTTGCACATAGATTTCTACTTACTTCGCAACAGTGGGTATGCTGTGCTGCACAAATATGGTATACTTGGATTTATCGCCATCAGAAAGCACGACTTTCTGCGACACATTACATCTCTATATAGGAATAACGCTCCCCCCTCCCGCACAGACATCGCCGTATAGCACCACCAGCAGCACTTTTGCCTGTTTACTACGACATATTCCATCCCGATATGGGAATGATAGACGGTTTCTTTCAAATTATCAACCCTTCAACCTTCTCGCTCTGGCGAGGCTGCTATAACCTCTACGCCTATCTTTTCATTAAAAATGTAGTACTCGCGCAACGGAAAAAAATAAATGCTTTAGGTGACATGACTAAATTACTTCGTATTAACCCGTATCAGGCAGTTGTTCCCAGAAGAAGTACTACAAGTCACATTAGCTAAAAGAGCTTACTATAAAAACGGTAGACGAAAGGACCGCCATTGTTTCCACGGCCTTCACAGGAGATGGAGACGTAGCTGTCCGCAGGGATTGGTCCGCTGACATTGACGTGACACGTGCCCAGCAAGGGAGGATCGGTCAGACAGAAAAGTCGGCACACTCCAGGCCGACTGGGCAGATCCACAGCCACGTAACAGACACGAAGGTCCTCTGATCCATCGAGTTCGGACAGTGCGCTTGCTTTGATTATGAGGGTAGGTAACGTGTAGTCTAAAGTGGAAGGCACGGTAGATGACGTCTATGAGATAAAACGACAGAACTTCAAAAAAAAGAAGAAGCAAAAATGCAAGCAAATAACGAGACACAGGCAGCAGTTGGGAAGAGCAGAGTTTCAAGTGCAATCAGAAACTCATCCCATTCTAAATCTCGAAATAATTACCAAGGAATGTGACACACGGACATTTCTCTCAATTTACACCAGATTGTATGTTTACGATTGCGCCTGACAAGTTAATGAAAATTTAATTAGTCACTGACCGGCATGTTTAAACGTGTGCTTATGAAATACCTTAATCCTGTGACGTCCAAATCGGCAAATTAATGTGAACATCTGGTTGACATAATCCAACCTATCACCAGAAAGATATAAATAAATAAACAACTGGAACCTTTTGTGATCTATGCACGCTCCGAGTTCCAGTGCTGTTCTGACATCGCAATATATGATACTTTACACTACGTGCAATGTGGGAGCAAACCTATCCGAACATTTACCCAACGCACTTTTTTAAACGTAATTTTACTTATGCTGCTTTATTCACTCGGATTTTTTGCCTGAACAGACTACCCGTATGTTTAAAACTTAAGTTTTCTGAGTTGCCCCGATTTTTATTTTTTTTTTGGATTTTTTTCGTTTTCATAAAAATCCTACTTTTACATTTTCTCACACTATTAATTGATTAAACCTCAATATACCTTCTTTTATATTAGGATGCTCACATTTATACAGTTAGAATTTGAGGAAAGCAAACTGGCCTATTCTTGCGTACCAGGGGTCCTCTTGTACAAATACTTGGATATGATTAGTTAGTGCACCTTTGTAGATGTTACCGCTGGGGTAAGAACTTTATTTGCCGCACGTTTCGATTCTTGATCAAACCCATCATCAGAGAGCGAGAGAGATCATCAGATACGAATACTTAAGATGTAGAAAATGGCACTATGCATAGGATACAGCCGTGATGCCACCACATATCTATGACATTCAACGGCTTCCCCTTCATCAGGTATATTTGACCCTATGGAGTCTCCACAAATGCCAGACTCCAGATCAGTCTGGGTAAACCCAAACAAACCAAAAGAGTTCTTTTGCGTTTGTATGCCTTTGAAGACGACTTCCTAGACAGGCCTCGTCCCTAGTGCAGTATATGAAGGGTGATGGACATTACCCTTGAAAACCCCATTTCAAACGGTACAGTATTAAACTTGAAATAATCATGTTTATGTAATGAATGAGGTAGCACATTCATGTTAGAAAATAATAGTCATGTAAAAGTGGGAGTGAAGACACATTAAGGTCAATTTAAGCTCACCGTCTGCGGCTGCCTGAAGCTGTGAAGTCGTGAGGTTTTGCGGTTCCCCATCATGTGCTACTATTTGCAGTTCCCACCGGTAGGCTGTAGCAGTGTCACAGTTCCCAGTACATGTGCCATGCAGTATGAGATCATTGGTCGGGCTAACACAGGTGGCACCGTCGTGGTGACCGTCCGCGGATAGTTGCGGCAGAGCAAGCCTAAAGGTTAAGGATCTCCATATTGGCTTCCATCGCAATAAAATGCGGGTAATGGACAAATAAGAATCATCTCCCGGTATCTTCGCTCTTACCTCAGTGCGAGGGCACACTGATGGAGGACCAGCTCACGTTATCTCAAAACTCGGTTCTATGGACCCCTAAACAGATCATGAGAATAGAAACCGCACAAAATATAGGTGTTCCCGAATGAATGAGAAGGTTCGCGATCCAGGTGATTGTATGGACGAGGAAGAAGGCGTGTCGGGCACCACATCAATTGATTTATTGTTCTGAGCTTTCGAACTCTTACAGCAGTCCATCTTCAGAGATGAGAAAGCAACCATAAAGGGGGTAATTAAAGTGGCCATAGGCCAATTAAATGTCAGAAATCATGAGGTTGTCAAGGGGTTAGAAACAGCGATGGAAAAAAGATGGAGGAGGAGGGCAGTTGGCTGTCAGTAGGGTCGGGGGGCAATTATAATGGCTCGAGGCATGGTACTCAGATGTCATCTCGGTCAACAGGCATCTAGACCTGCCAGCGGCCTACAAAATCTTGCGCCATTTTGTGGGAAAAAGACGGAACGAAGCCAAACCAAACGCAAGAATGGCAAACGAAGAGGACGCTACAACGAACCGTCCGGAAGTGGAGGCAGGGTTATCAGGACCCTTTACCGGGTGACAAGGCGGCACACTAATTGCTGTTCATGACCCCCAGCTCCAC